GTCTGGGCTCGCTTGTGTTCGGCTCGTTTACACCCCTATTTACAAATACTCAGTTTGTCAACACTGTCAGTCATGACTTGGCTCTGGGCTTGGAATTAATCAAGACGGGTACAGACGGTTGGACGGTGGAAAATAAAAATATATTTATATTCCTTATAACTAACATTTAATTAATGAAAGAAACTAAAAAATATAAATTAAACAGTACAATTAAATTTACCTCATTACATGTGTGTGTCTTCTATAAACACTTTCAAATAACAAAGAGCTAATCAATTAATTAAACATACAATGTTAGTTTCAAATAACAAAGAGCTAACCATAGTCAGTGAATGCTCATACTTCTAAATTATAATAACACAATAAAAAAGAATAAAACATGCATGTCAGTTAAGTCATTAATAAATCAATAATAAAACATTTGCTATCTTATGAATATGATCGTTCAAGATATTTAATAATATTTAAGTATTTTAATGTATCAATAACATATCTAGATCATTTATATCTGTACAACAATCATAAGAGCATGGTCTAAAAATTGTATCAAGGTACTTCAATATCAATATCAATATCTATTTACGTGCATGAGTACCTAGCGTTCCTCTGCTAGTACCATAAAAAGGATAAATCTATCATAGTTATACATGCACATGCAAACAATCTAAATAGTAAATCTCATTCTTATTTTATTTTCATAATCAGTAGATGATATAATAATTTGAATTATGAAATTGACATGACATATCCAAGACTCAATATTATGCAATTCAATATGATCAAATGAACTTAAAGAGCAAGTAAAATTTATCTAAATAATTAACAGAGTGTATCAAATTTAGAAGAAACCAATTTGTTATTATAATTTAAAAGTATAAGTACTCGCCCGATCACAAATGATTAGCTTGCTCTCAAGTTTTATCACTTCTATCAAATTAACACATAAAATGAAAAATATTCATGCTACTAAATTTTTATCTAATTACTTAATTATAATTTTAATTAAATTATTAATTATTATTTTATTATATTATTTTAATTAAGATTTTGATACTTAAACTTAAGTTTAATCATTGAAATTAATATTAAATATGATTATTTTATACAAAATACTTCTGGAAATAAAGCCATGGCCTTTTTTGTTGTTTTCAAACTTTCACCAATCCAAAAGTGAAACTTTTATGGCATGAATCAAATGCACTTAAATTTAACATTTGGATAATAAATAAAAATATATAAATGTGATATATATATATATATATGTATCAC